GGTCTCTGCAGACAACTACAGACCAATCAGCTTCACTTTGATGTGTTATAAGATTATGGCAAAAAACAACTTAGCGAAAAGTAATGCGCTTCTTAAAGCAGCATAATTCGCTATCCGATGGGGAGCATGGATTCCCTAGAGGCAGGTCTTGTGTGACAAACCTGCTCCACTGTTTGTAATTTTTGACTTGCGTTTTCGATGGGGGGAATGCGGTGCAAGTAACCTATGTTGACCGTAAGAAGGCATTCGCTAGTGTACCACATGAGCGACTCCTGCACAAAGTCGACCGAGCACGTGTTAGGATAATCTCCTGAGGTGGATTCGTAATTCCCTAATCGGCCGCTCTGAAGATGTTCGCGTTAGTAACCAGCAGTCGGCTGAGGTTGCGGTTGAGTATGGTGTCTCCCAAGGTGATACTCTTGACCTACCCTGTTCACTGTATACGTTAAAGAATGCGTAAGTGAACTGAATTGTAATGTCCCTATATCTATTGATGATGACATCTGAGATGAGGCCGACGAAGTGCGCTTGAGGGCAAACATGAACTGGCTTGAGCAATGGTCCAATGACTGAGGCACTCCAACAATCTACAAGCCGGCGGGACCCAGTCTCTGAACCGCAGAGTTAACCGTCTGAATGGCATACTGCTGCAGAATGTGGACGCCCATAGAGATCTAGGTGGGTGATTCACGACTTCAAATAAACCATAGTTACACTGGTCAAAGGTAACCGAGTCTGCTCACTTAAGAATCGCAGAAATATTTGAATTAGCTTCGAAAATGGGGCTCGTTTAGTTATATATCTATAAAGTTAATCCATGATGACTTGCTTGTTCTTTCAGCGTGGAGCTCAAAATGGCTAATGAAATTCTCTCCATCCAAATGTCGCTATGTGTGCTTTTGACCTGAAAGACTACCCCAACCAGTGGTTTATCAAGGCCCGTCGAGGACTTAGGTTTAAGCTACACCAATAGCCTTGATCTCTCGCCACACGCAGAATTACGGCCAAAGCTGCCCAGATCTGAGGCTTTATTTCTCATAATTTCTATCTTCCTGGAATTAATTTGTGACTTTGTCGTATGTTTGTACATCCCATTCCCGAGTATTGCTGCCCATTCTTTGGTTTGATCGTTCAAAAATTGAAAATATTCAAAGAAATTTCATTAGAAAACTCTTAGGCACGGAACATCAAAATATCTCCTACTCAGATAGATGCTAACAAATTAACCTAAAATTTTTACGGGTTCGAAGACTAGAAGTAGGCTTCTGTCTCCTCTTTCGCATTAATAGTAGTTTAACTCTTCGTCGAATTTCAGCCTTTACCCCTTGTAGTCGCCCACACAATCTTCGTAATTCTTCTTTGATTATACCTCCGCCCGCTTCCTCGACTTCTAAGCGTTCTCTTTTGTTCGCTTCCAGGTATACCTTTCTTTGGAGTAACCTTCCAATAGGTATAAGATCATCAGATAATTTACATACTTCTAAGAGAAAGTTGCGCCTTTATTTGAATACTGACTCGATTAATCTTTTATTTTCCTCATCCTTCCCCGAGAACTTCCTCCATGACCTTGAGAAAGAGCCATCGGGGATTTAGGATGCCGCCGCCAAATTACCGTATCCCTCCGCACCGCTCTCCGTTTGCTTGTGATTTCGCTTTCTAGGAGCTCTCATCAGAAATTTCGTTTTTTTCTATTTTTCGGTCCATGCGTCATGTCCTTCACCTAGCGCTATATCCTCTCTGATTGACCTATCGGGAGTATTGGGGCTACGCTGACTTGTGCCCCCCAAGCCGCCTCCGTTTCAATTACCGCAGACTCTCAGTAGGAATCCTTTCTGGCCTTTGAGATTTCGAGCTCTCACCCCTAATGTCAGTCCCACTCTAGGTTTGCCACCATCTACCACCCCCATGCTCTCATCCTACCCTCATGAAGAATTTACCTTACTCTTCCATGTCCCTTCACGAACGATGATTTCCCCTTATTTTACATTCATCTCCCCAGTTCTACCCCTAGGCCATCTGTAGACGATTACGGCGGACACCTCTGTTATCACCGTCTGTTAGTAGCTTTGTCGACCAGCAAAGAAGTATTTTGGTCGCATCTACCGCGCTTTAATGAGCCCCACAGCCTTAAATATCCACATTGGCTTGGACTTTAAGTGGACTGGGACCGATCGCGCCGGGTCCCCCTTGTCCCGCCACTTTGACGGTTGCGTCTGTTGTTAGCCTTGTTAGGATCGCATCTGCAGCGGAAAGCCTAACGCGGTTTAGGAATTTAACCATGACGAGAAAGCTTTTGCATCCATATATGTATACTCTCGCCTGTGGGACGGACCTGTCCTACCCGCATTTTTACCTTCCCATGATCGACAGTGATTAAACCACACTTCTTCTGCTTTTTCGGAAAAAGGGAAGTTTTTTCATTGTCCGCTAACAATTTTTAATATCGGACTGCCTATTTCAGAAGCACGAATCGGACGCTTTACAGTGTCTACTTACTTGTCCTAAAATTCACTCGAAGATATACTTATACTTACTTTGACAGTAAACTTGGGAGTACTAAATTAAACAACCCATATATTTACTGCATAGTTAAAGTCTATCAAACGTCTGTGCATCCACAGCTGGAGTTTGCCATTCAAGCCTGAAGGCTATGGACCGTTCAGGGTCTCAGTACGCACGAAAAAGTTTGAAAGACGTACGGCTAAACTTGCAGCTTGGCAGGTCTTACTCTCCTATGGGACACAGTTATTTAATATTGATTACTTTTCTGTGCGCTTATGGACAGCTGCAAGACGACCTGGTACAAACGTTCCGCATAATGCGCTGTCGAAACTACTGTCTAGTACCTGGGGACATTTTGAGCTAGTCAGCACAATGCATATGTGATGGCACCCACTGAAACTGCATGTGATTGTGGCTAGGTTGAACGTTCTTCTCTAACAGAGTGTATGAGGCTCGGAATCGTATGCCCGCGGATATCATTATACCCTCATCTGTGAAATTTTTAAGAGAGACCTGGGTCGGTAGATAATTACGTCCAACAATGCCACCCATCCGACGTCATCTTAACGCCTTGCATGAAAATTAATTATTGCTTGGTACTACCGTAGCATTCGTTTATGAAAGTTCCATTGTTGGTCCTAACACTGAAATATTTGCTGACACACACTTTGGTTTCTAAAAACAACTGACACCTTGCAACTTTTTCGTCAACGGACCCGTGCTTAAACTGACCACTGCACCGTGCACTTACTAGTGCATATATGCATGCCACCGCTGATATCACTTGCAATCAATCGGAAGGACAGGGAACATCGTCAGGGTGGTGGTATCGTTTTGTATGTGAATGAAGGTCTGGCAGTGTCGGATAACACCACAAAGTTTGCGTGCAGTACGGAAGCTATCCGGTTGACCATCAAGGCTACCGGTTCCCCGTGTCTCACTGTCTACCAACCACCTAGGACAGACCGAATCGCCGACACTGAACTATTGGAGCAGTTGGAGAAATTTTCCGGTCGACCTAACATCATGATCATGGGCGACTTCAACGCACCAGGAACAAACTGGAATACCCTCCAAGCGTCAGGTCCAAAATCGGCATTCGATTACCGCCTGTTGAGCAAAACATTAAATGCGTGCCTCACACAACATGTAATGTTCCCAACGAGAACACGTGAAGGACAAAGGGCAAACTGTCTGGATCTGGTCTCTACGAAAACACCAGACAGTATAGACGAGATCACCTCCGTGCCGCCCCTTGGCCGAAGTGACCACGTAGTGCTTATGTGGGATTATTCGTTATTCTCCATTTCACATACTCCAGACCACAAAAGACGTAATGTTTGGCGGGGCGACTTCAATCAGATGAGGGCAGACTTATCCGGTCTTGACTGGGGCTCATTGTTTACGGGAAGTGCCAACGATGACTGGGAGTTGTTCAAGAATGTCCTTCTGCAGCTCATCAACAACCACTGCCCACTGACTAGTGTAAGACTGAACAAACGCCCTGGGTGGCTAAATAGCAACCTTAAGAAAGAAATCAACAGGAAGCACAAATTGTGGAGAAAATACTGCGTCACTAGACAAGCCGAATGCTTCAACACCTACAAGACACAGAGGAACAAACTGAGGAAGCTGATATTGAATACGCGGCGCGAATTCGAGGAGAACTTGCTACAAAAAGCAACGCAGAACCCAAAATTGTTCTACAGCTACCTTCGACGAACTACAAGTAACAGGCATCAAATCCCTTTGATAAAGCCTACTGATGGCATTGAGATCGCTGATAGTAGGGATAAAGCTGCGTATTTTTCACGGTTTTTCCAATCAGTCTACATAAACGAGGCAAGGTTCCTTCCTCCCTCCACAGAAGAACTGCCGACTCCAAGCGTCAGTGATATACTCTTCTCAGAAGGCATTGTCCGAAGACAATTAGAGGCATTGAACGAATCGAAGTCACCAGGACCAGACGAGATTCGACCCAAGCTTCTCAAGGAACTTGCGAGGGAGCGTTCTGTGCCTTTGTCGATGCTCTTTCAAACGTCATTTGACACTGGAACACTTCCTATCAATTGGAAGCTGGCGCATATTACTCCGCTACACAAAGGAGGTAACAGGGCAGCGACGACAAACTACAGGCCCATAAGCTTGACATGCATTTTCTGCAAAGTTATGGAAAGGATCATAAAGAGTGAACTGATGCAATTCCTGGAAGTTCACGGCCTTCTATCGAAATGCCAACATGGGTTCCGGAAGGGAAGATCCTGCACGACAAACTTGCTCCAATCTCTCCAGAGCTGGACCCGAGCTCTCGACGATAGGCACGCGGTCCACATAGCCTTCATCGACTTCCAGAAGGCGTTCGACACTGTGCCACACCAGAGGCTCTCACACAAACTTAAAAAATAGGGATCGGTGGCAACTTCCTTAAATGGATTGAAAACTTCCTTGTGGGTCGACACCAGATTGTGTGCGTTGGTCGGGGAAAATCAGATCCGGCTATGGTCGATAGTGGTGTCCCCCAGGGTTCAGTTCTGGGACCCATTTTGTTCCTTATCTACGTGGACGATGCCGCAAGAGATTCAGACTGCGAAGTGGCAATGTTTGCGGATGACATGAAGATATGGAGTGTAATTCGGGGTTCTGCCGATGAAGACAGACTGCAGATTAACCTGAATCGGTTGGAGGAGTGGTCAAACCGTTGGCTCCTGCGGTTCAACGTTGCCAAATGTAGCATACTTCATCTAGGCAAGACAGCCAGATCGGCCAGCACAAGAGACTACTTTCTGGGCGGTGCAGCCTTAAAAGAGGTCGAAGCCCAGAAGAACCTCGGTGTGCTAACGACGAGCTCCCTAAAACCATCCACCCACTGTTCGAGGGTGGCAAAAAGCGCAATGTCCGTACTGTACGCCATCAAGCGTGCGTTTATGGACTTTGACGAAGAAGCTTTCACTAAGACATTCGGAACATTCGTCCGAAGTTGGTTAGGGGTCAAAGCTCCTTTCCTTATGCAACCCGCCTAGTAAATCTGAACCTTCTTCCTATGAGTTACGGGCAACTTCGCGGGGATCTCTTGCAAGCTTTCCGCATTATAAAGGGGTTGGATTGCAGTCTTGCTTTCGAGGAAATTTTTGAATTTGCTACCACGACCAACCTCCGAGGTCACCCGTTCAAACTGCGCACTCAGCAGGCACGGCTGGATGTGCGGAAGTTCTCCTTCTCGCTTTGGGTGGTCAAACCATGGAATGAGCTTCCAGCAGATGTTGTAATGTCACCATCTATAAAAAGTTTTAAGAAGAATCTGGACATATTTATTTCAGTTTATTTGGTAAGGATAATAGGCAAAGCCTTTGAAAACCCTAGTGATTACACGTCAGCTCGTTAGAAATAACTGTACACGAACAAAAAATGTTCACTATTAAAACAGTACTTAGTTCATTTGAGTAGCATTGTCTCAGAGAAAATATTTGTCTGGACCAGGGATATTAATTCAGATTCAGACTGTCGAGGGAAAAAAGGGGAGACAAATAATCATACAAGCGTTTCTTGAAGAGTTGAAGGGACGTAGCCTCCACGACCGACTAAGGGAGATCGTTCCATTTCCCCACTACCCTCTGCGTGAAAAATTCAGAACGAAGATTCAGCCTGGACATTGTTGCCCGTAACTTCATCGAGTGATCACGAAGATTGGGTGAAAGGTGCCACTGAAACATGTCCTCAAATTTAAGTCCATACTCAAGGCATGTAGTATCTTGTAGACGAGGATAAGATCACGTCTTTGCTGCCCGTAACACAGAGGGAATAAATTAAGGCAATTCAGTCTTTCTGTGTAGGATTGGCTTTTTAGACCGTTTACCAGCTTTGTTGCACGCCGTTGTACTCGTTCAAGGCATGCTTGGTCCTTTACTAGCCACGGCCGCCATGCTTGTATGCACATGTTTGTGCACAACCGTTCAAAATCCTTAGACTCGAGATAAGTTGAAATTCATTTATAACTGAAATATTTGACATATTTCTCTGTCGATTTTGCGTCAATTTTTATTAGCTGTCGAAAATAACACATAAATCTATTACACTCTCCCCATTTAACCATGACTGATGTTACGTTTGCTGTCGACAAAGTAGATCTTTCGGCCATCGTCCGTTTACAGAAGTTCATCGAGAAACATGAACATATTTTTACGATTCTCGATTCACTAACAGACTCAAATAGATTCACGAACAACCTAACGAGCCTACCACAAATTGAATCGATTATACACTTAGTTTCGTCAGAAGTCGCGGAAAGATCGAAACGCAGGCTCAATTTAATTATCCGTAATATACCCCACACTGTTAATCCGATGCCATCAATTCAAAATTTTATACATTCGTGTGGCTTAAATATCAGAGTAGCTAACACTAAAAGACTTCACTCCAGAAGCAAAAACAAACCCGTCTTAGTAACATTCTACTCACAGGCGGAAGCTGAGATTGTCCTACAAAATCCCGAAGTAAACAGAAATCTGCGGAACCTAAACTCGTTTATAGGTCCAGATTTGACACCTATGCAAAGACGTAAAGTACGGGAAAAAGACACCAGCTACAAATACGATAATCAGCACTCCGGTCCCTCAACTGAACCTTTAGCCACTACTTCTACTTCTAGCACTAATAAAAAGAAATACACAGGCCAGCGTAAACCAAATGATATACCCACAGCCCCCGCAGAAGGGCCTCCAGCAAGTACGTCTGACTCTAGTTCACATGATAAAAAGCGCGCAACTGCAAAAACAGTTAGAACTGCTGGTCAGAAACAAACGAGGAAGGCACAACAAAATAACAACGTTCAAGCAGAACAAAACGATGATGCAGATCCCGGACCGAGTCATGTGACACCCTTAGATAGCAGTATAAGTTTTACTACATCCCTCAAGACCGATCAGTCAGTACTAGAAAACGCGTTTTCTGCAAAACGTCCGCAGTTATATTAAAGGACCGACAAATGTAGCCGCGCAGGTGTACAGGCGCATTAGTGAAAGGCGCCTGCCTGAGTTGTCCACAGGTCCCACGCTGTTGGACGACGATGAGGGAGTTCCACGGTCTTTGCAGTTGCCCCGCAGCTCTAAGGCCATATTACACAACGGGTATCTTTTGTCGACCCAATCTCCTGACAATGTGGTGCTTGTCGGCGATAGACCGTGCGTACTGACATCTGTGTCGGCTACAGGCATAGTTTACCGCCAGTTTGTTGATTGCCAAGACTGCCTGGATCCTGCATTCCCTTCCTCAAATTTACTCATTTTTAAGGCCTCCCTTTTGGACAGCAAACTTTCGAATGCTTCTCTTGATGACATTATTTGTAAATACGTTGCGCTACACCTGGACGGTTGTTTTTACCTTATTCCCATGTTGCATACTTTTTGATTTTTGATCTCCCACTTTTTCCGTTTTGCATCTCATAGACATTTTTCGATTTTACATTTTGTGGACACTGCTTAAAGATGTATGCGGTTGTTGAGTTTGTGAATGATAAATCTGTGGCGGCCGTGCCGAAGTGTTGGTTCCACAACGAAGACTGTGTGATGTGGGTTAAGAACCACAAGCTACGTGACCGTCTACTTGTGAATAACGAAAGGCCTCCAGAAGGCACAAAGACTTACTCTGTCCGTGTGCTGAAGAATGACCTCTCACTCGACAGAGCACTTCAGCTGGAAAAAAAGGCTGTAGACACTGACGATCTTTCCCACTCAGAGCCTACCGAATTAGGCCGAGGGATGAGGAAAAGGTAAGTGCTTGCTTTTCATTAATTTATCTTTGTAGGTTTGTCCGCCAGCTCACCTCAGACGACGACGAGGATGATGATGATGAAGAAATGGCTGCGCAAAGACCAAGACAAGATAATCAATTAACTGCCTGGCCCACGCCGCCACGCATTCTCCAGTAAGAATCCGTGTATATTATGCCAACTTTTAGACCACGCAATAGCTCGGAAAATACACCTTGGTGGAGAGACTCCAGCCAACCTACGCCACCAAGGGCTAATCAGTACGCCGTTTCTTTTAAATTTTACTTAAGGCCGCCCCGGGAACCCAGCACGACCGCGTTTGACAAACGGTTATCACAGGTGCAGCACGATGGTGAATGCGTCCGGTAAGACTGTTCTGACTCTTGATGACATGCGAGTAGAAAGAAAGTTGATTACGTTGCTGAGGAACTCGTCGAACTACGGGCTGACATAACGCAGGTTAAGGCTACAATGGCCGAAATTTTAAAGGCCATTCAGGAATTACGTCTGCCAGCTGAAGCGAGGCCTCCTTCACTGAAGTTGCCTCTGTGTACGAAGGAGGCTTACCAGGCTTTCGTGAGTGAGCTTGAGAAAAATGCTAGTTTCGCTCAAGACGCGGTATGTAGATATACTGACACTTCTTCATTTGAATGGATTGTAGATTAAACGTCTGGCGATTACAGACGGGCGAAACGAGAAAGAGTTTGTCAGAAATCTACTGACCACTCTACTCGGCCACCCCCTATGCCTCAGTTTCTGCTGGGGCGGAGCAAGAGATAAGCAGGCCTTCGTCGGCAGCCCCCTTTATGGCCTTG